TGGCTAGCTAGGGAATTCTGGCTAGGGAATTCTGGGAGTTGAAGACCACATATCTTAAAGTTGCCAAGTTTGAGAAACACTGGTCTAGACAGACTTTTGTAAGAAATCCCAAATGTTTTCAAACGTGGGGCCTAGATAATGCAATATTAAAGAGTCTACTGAATGTTTGGGATAAAGGAGGCCTACATTTCTCCCTTCTTGCCTTGTTATTAAATGTTTATTTTATGAAGATGAAGATATTAAAACAATGTTCAGTGGAGAGACAATAATTTGTTTAGATTGCAAGATTTTATTGTTAATGGGGTAAGTATATAATATTTGGATTTTCTTCCTGCATGGTGCAATTCTGCACTGAATTGGTACCAGTATCTTCAGATAAGGAGGGTGGTAAGAAAAGAATTACAGAAGCAGCAGAAATACTGAGAGGTTTGTCTCAATTTGACAAGCTTGTAACACGTAATACTGAATATTTCTTGGGCATCATTTATACATTCCTAGGGAAGATTGTAGGATTAAATGGATGCAGAATTTGAATATGGTCATAGAGCTGCAACAATAGGAATTTCTATGGAAGCAGAAAAGCAAATTAACTTTATGTAATACCAAGGAAGAATTGGTATGACATCTTTAACCACAGGTATATGGTTATCGCTTGAGCCTCAATTGCTAAAAGGAATGATTCTTTTTCCAAAATGTTCAGGAAATGTAATGAGGAGACCAGACCTTTTCTTCATGTCTGGTGGCAATGTTGTAGAGCTCACCTATATTGGAAAATGACTCATTCTAGAACAGATAAATTCTGAAAGTTACAATCCCATTGCGACCTGGGATATTCTTACTAAATATTACTAAACCTTTCAAAATATACTGAATTAGCACATTGTTTCTTAAGGAGTCTATATGCTTGTTATTAGAAAAGTTTTCTGATTCCCTACTCTAAGAATGGAGAGTGCCTCAATGTCTACAACGATTTTGTGTTTAAAAAACAAATCTGATGCGGAATTTAAGTCAAACTGGAATCTATTCTGGAGCAACCGTCTTCAACAGGGAATTGTATCACATTCAAAATCTGTGGTCTTTTTAGAATATATATCTTAATTCAATGTAAAATTTATAGTATTGCTTCAATATATTGTTTACTATCTATAGTCTTCTTTAATTACTTGTGTTCACTAGGCATTTTTAACTCAACATTCAACATTATATGAAACATCTTATATTCACGTAAGCTTCCAATCGTATTAGTTCTTTGCTCTAACGGTAGTCCTCAGTTAACAACAGTAATTGGGACAGCCAACTCCATTGCTCAGCGACGCAATCATAAAGCACAACACCGTACCAACTTACAACAGCAGTTCCAGCAGTTCCAGTTGTTTCAAAAGGTTGGTAAATGACTGGTCATTAACTGAGGACTACTTAAAATATATTTGCTGTTTATCCACCTGTACTTGATGAATCTTTCAGAAGAAGGTCAGGTCCTTACCTGAACCAAGTCCTTCAA